TTGATTTCTTACCAAAAAGTAGTTTACTTTAACATTTAAAGTCAAAAACTGATAAAACTAAAACTTTTTGTAAGTGACTTTTTGCCATTTTGATCTAATCTCTCTCACTGCGACGTGTGGTTTATTTGTATTTGTAATCTAGTCTTAGGAAAGCACAAAAAACGTTGTTTTGTTATTATTATTGTGTAAATTTATTTTTTCCTTTTTCTATTCCTAAAATAAACATAAAAAATATTATAAACTGAAATTAAAATTAACCAAAATCAGTTAATGTTTATCTCTCTTTATTAGATAGCCAGATACTAACACAGTATATTTTTATATGTGTAATAACCCTAAGATAAATCACTCGGCTCACAATTTAGAGGTTCCGGGTTCAAACCCATCTTCTTCTCCACCTCAAGAATTAGTACCACGCTTAAACTGTTTCGCCGCACAGCGGCCTTGCTTACCAAAGTTCGTGTTTCGTCGTTTAAGTTTTAAGAAAGAGTTGAAAATGAAAATAAAAGCCTTGAGGTGAATTTTACAAGTAAAATTTCTTTTAATGTGGAAATAAAATATGTTATTACGCGAACAAAAATTAAAAACTCTTATTGATAAAGACATCTACATATTTAATGAAACCGATGCAATAAGAATTTTTTCAATATTTTATTTATTTTAGGTCTTTAATAATCAATTTACATAGCACAAGTTTTTTATGTTTTGTAACGTTATTCATGTTACTTCTACGCGAAACGTAACTGAAAATCAATTGACGGCAAATTAGTTTTCAAAGAAAACAACAATATGATGCCGTAATTACCATTATTCTTTGCCAATATAATAAATTTCAACATTTTTCTCTGCATTTATAAAATAATTTAATTAACACATCCTAAATTCTTTAACAATTTCCTCTTGTTTTGTGCAATGTTATCAACGCATTCAACACGATTGCTGGATTTTATCGTTTGTCTTTGACGTCAGAGCAACTTATAGTTTGTTTATTCCATTTCCAAACAACCATTAAAATGGCGTAAATTGTATTAATGTCTTTAATGGTATTAAATGGCATTTCATTTTTTTTAGTATACTGTTTAAATTTAATACATTTGGCATTTGGCTGTTTTACACAAAGGCGAGGCGTACTTAAGTAATGAGTTAAGCGCGTAAGATTATCAAATACATTAAATAGCTGTAACCAATTAATGTATAATTGCACATTCTAACCGATATTTGTCTGCTTTCTCTATGCTCTCTTTCTAACTCAACCAGTTATAACTGGACAGTTATAGCTAGAAGATAAAAACTGCGTTGTGGTTAAAGCTAACGCTAACTAAAATACGTGAAGTGATCTCACCCGTGAGATTACCCTACATGCTGTAGGGTGAGATCACCCCACGTATTTTAATTAGTGTTAGCTTTAACCACAACGCAGTTTTCATCTTCAAGTCGAAAGTACTTTTTACCGTATAAACTCCTTTTTCCTAAACCTTTAGGGTGGAATGCAAGAAGCAAACTTAAGTTAAGTTCGACTTGAACTTTACTTTGTAACCAATAGCGGCAGAGTATTATTTGAGGGGAAAACCCATACTCTGTCGCTATTGGTTGCAATGTAAAGTTCAAGTCGCGCTTGACTCAAGTTCGCTTCTTGCATTCCACCCTTAATGCCTATGAAAAAAGTAAATTTCAAATATATATTCCTAACTTTTTAACTAGGCAGTAAATTTTTTAATAGACTTTTACAATAAATTTATTGAAATTTTAAATAAAGATTAGAGTAATAATAAAAAAATAGCATATAGGCGAGTTTTCATTCCCCTGTTTTTCTAGAGAAGCGTTTTAGCAACGTTAAAAAGACATAGCAATGTTATTACAAAATTGGATTTAGCCAGTCAACTAAATCCAACGTTGTTATAAAATTGAATTTAGTTGTTAAAGATTTGTTTCGCCGACAAAAAGCCAACATAGTCCCGTATTGACGTCGTAAGTCCACTTGGTTGTGTGTCCATTTGGTTGTCAAGTTTTGGAAAAAATAAAAAGAATTAAAAAAGGGCTTCAAACTTCCTGCAATTGTCATGCCATGCAATTCTCTGTGCATTTGTCATTGAGCAGTTGGATGTAAAAGCTTTTTAACAATGTTTTTTTATATCAACTCTTGTATTTTTTAATATTATTATTACTATTATTAAAAATTACCGCTGTTAAAGCACCGTTAATAAAATTACTGTTTAGTGCAGCTGATGTAGATCAGGAAATGTTAACTGCTTACTGTAATAACTAAATAACCAATCAAATTAAAAAGTATCTTTAAAAAGCAAAATATTTATATATTAAACATAAAAATGTAAAGCTTAACCCACGCATATGTCTGTTAAAAAACAGAAAGATTTTTTTAAGATTAGATAAAAATAAAAAGATAAAGGCAAAGATGATAAAATGGATTTAATCCATCGTCAATTATCAAAGTCCATTAACCCATTAGAATATGTTAGAAGAAAAAATACAAGCTATATGTTTGTTTTTGAAAATAGAACATTAAAACAATAAAACATTCTATAGGATTTTTAATTTTTATGAAACTTTTTTTATTACTCAAATTAATATTAATTATAATTATGATTTAATATGAATTTAATATGAAAATTATGATTTAATATGAAAAACTAATTTTTTAACTTTTTTTATGAAAAATCTCAATTTTTAGCGAAAGCAGTATATTTAGAAGTATACCGTAAAATCGGCTAAGTTCGGTCACCATGTAATCCGGTCATTTAAGAAAAAATATAAAAAAAGAATGCAAAACTTACAAACTTTTTTTTCTCAAATAATATTTGTAATTAGTTCGTAAATATGAATCTATAAAAATAGTAATAATATTTATATGCAACCCACTTAAATAATTCTTGAGCAAAACAAAAATTTTAAAAAACTATTAAAATCTGAAATAAGCAAATTATTAAAATAAAAGATCAAATTTAATCTTAGTATTATTAAGAATCACCAATTTAATTATATTTACAAAAAAAAACTATTAATTTTTGAAAATTAGCTATTTTTTGAGTTTTGAAATACTCGATCATTCACGGATAATAAGGAAGGAGACAAGTAGCAGTAATATTGTGAAATGTTGGTAAGTGTTGCGAATGTAAAATTTACCGGTAAATTTTGACATTTTTATAATGGATACACACCACGGTATTTTATTTGAATAAAAAATGTGTTCATAATTTCAAAATTAACTGATCGTTCTTTGAGTTCTAAAAAATATCAATCAAGTGACATTTTTTTTGGAGACAAAATTACAGCTTAAAAACAATTATGGATGCGTTACGAATCCTGTGACAATTGGTTGTGTGGATCTTGCTGTTCTACTATGGTCAACGATACGTGCAAGAATTGTCAATAAATATACAACGTTCATTTTAAGCAAAGTAGTGTTTTTTTGTTAGTTGAAAAAACCTTTTTAAATCAATTGAAAATATATATTTTTAATTTTATTAACCAATGGCGTAGCAAATGTGATAATACTTAAGTAATAAAATAGTTACTAATTACAATAAAAATTAAAAATACTACTACTTATATTTAAAAAAGTCTTAAAAATGTCCTTCTTATATTCTTTAGAGCCCCAAAAGACTTTTTTTTTTGAGCCCAGGGCAACGCCCTCCTTAGTTACTGGTATTACCTGAATTTATATCATAATTTTACAATAAAACAACATTTAAAAATTAGTTGTCATTATTTGTGACCATAAGTTTGTGTTACGTTATTAGTATTTATATAGCGTCCGAATTTTTGATATGGTATTAAAAGTTCGGTCAAAGTAGATGTTTTCATTTGAAATTAAATATTGAGTATTAGTTTTTATTTTTCATTTTTTTATTTTTACAATATCAATTATCAATATAATTTTCTGTATGTTTCAGAAAAAAAAAAGATTGAAAATATTTTATTTATACGTGATAAATAAATGTTCAAAATGACCAAACTTAGGCAGTTTTACGGTATATGTACGATTTACAAATATTTTAGTTAAAATGGCATTAAATGGCACCAAACTAAGTTTTACACTAATTTTAAAAAACATTGATTTTTTTTTTTAGCTTAAATAAATGTTTAAATAAAAGATCTGATTTAAAAAAAAAGTTGTTCATAAAAAAATTATTGACTTTCCTTTCAAAAAAAATGTTTTTTTTTTCAAAAAACAACTTCTAAAAAAATACTCAACAAAAACATTTAAAATCAATTATATGTACGAGATTCAAACTGATATACATCTGAAATAATTTTTTTTTTTTTTTCTTGCTTAAGCGAGATAGCACAAGTAATTGCAAGTTTGTAGACAAATTAGGAAGAAAATAAAATAAATTGTTTATAAATTAAAAACAAAATATTATAACAAGTTTATAAAAAATACAAAAGTAATGGATATTTACTACTTAATACAACACTTAAAAAAATATATTAAATATGAATAGATTATGATTTATAAAAACCAGGTTTCTAAAAACCATATTCTATATTTCTACTCAATAACTTTTATCAACAATGTTATTTGAAAAATAAAACAAGCTTTCCTTGCTTTAGCATCAATTAATAAAGGTTTACAATGCTCAAATGTGTGTGGAACCTAAACAACATGGTACAACTTTAAATAAAACTATTTTTTAAACTACATTTGACTAAAAAAAGCTTAAGTTTTTTTTTCTGTCGCTAACTCAAATTTATCCAAAATCAAAATTTTGTAGTTATAAAAGAACCATTTCCTTAATAAAAGTTGCATTGAAATAATATATGTTACAAATAATAGATGTTTAGCATCTTTATTTAATCTTTTTTTTTTTTTTGCGACGATGATTAAAAAAATAAATAGAGCGCTAAGTTAAAAGTTTTATTTGACTGAACGCAATATTTTTTTCTAATAAATGGTTTTTTTCACAAATTACAAACTTTTAAACTTTTTTTTATATTTGAATAGAAATAAATTTATATATACAAAATAAATAATAACTGTGTAAAATAAACTCTTTTTTTTATTTTATTTCAATTAATTTAAAACTTATAAATCATAAGAATGTTTACCATACTTTTTCACAATCAGTTTCAAGTAAAATGCTTACTTGAAAATTATTTTTACATTTATGATTAAAATCTATAAAATCTATATAGTTTACAATATTTACAAATTTATAATTTTATTCGTTTATTTTTTTATTATAATGATTAGAATATTTTGATACGCTATCTTGGTACGTTAGTAACCATGGTACTTCAATAACATGATACGCTAGTAATCTTGATAAGTTAGCAACATGGATAGGTTGCTAACCTTGATAAGTTAGTAACATGGATAGGCTAATAACCTTGATACTTTAGTAATCTTGATACGTTAGTAACGTGGATATAATAATAACCTTGATAAGTTAGTAACATGGAGATGCTAGTAGCCTTGATACTTAGTATTCTCAAAAGTATTTTCAATACGTTAGTAAACTCGATATATTGGCAAACATCAATATTGAACATTTATTCTTTTATTTCTGTGAAACATTTTTATTCAGTTTGGGTGTTTTTAGTTTCTTAACCAGCTTTTGCAGAGATAAGAGAAAAATATATCGTCTAATTAGATTTGAGACATAAGACATCCAAGTTGTTTGTTGTCAAGCGAACTATATGCGAAAGCACTCAGTTGATTCTGGTGTGAATTACAATTTTTCTTTCGCTACACAACTATGACTTATTAATAACTGTTGGAGTTCTTCCAACTGACTTTGTAAGGCTAATATCTCCTTCAATACTTCATGGTTGTCGTGTTCAATGCTTTCAACTTCCTGGTTGAAAAGTTTTAATAATTTCAATATAAATATATTTTTAAAAATTATAGTAAGTTAGAATGTCAAGAAGTTGGCGACATCGTGGTAGGAATTGTGATGTAATTTTAGTTGTCATGTTTCAGTATTGACAAAGTGATTCAGTACAGCGGTCAGTACAGTAGTTACAAAGTGATTCAATACAGGGTCGTGATGCTATAGAGGTAAAAGTCTCGTGTTTCTAATTTGATAGTAAATTTTTGAAATAAAAATAAAGCATTGTGAAAGTTAATAATGTGGAAGTCAGGTTAGGGTGCAGGACTTTTTGATATTTCAGATAATACACTTCAAGACATTGTGCGAACTTCGCATTTTTTTATGTCCATGCATGCGTCGAATGAGAGTATCTGGTAGTTGTGATGCCAGTGTGTGTAGTCAGTTTTGACAGTACATAAAATTTTAAAATTAATCACCTTTTCTAGAACTTCTATTCGATCTTTTTGTTTTTTCCTGCATCTTCTAGCAGCCAACTTGTTACGTTCGCGTTTTGGTAATATTTGAGTTTCGTTTTTCTGTCGTACTCGTGACGATTTTTTTTTTTTTTTCTATAAATTTTTATCAAAAAACAATATTGCTTAACTATAATTTAAATTAAATAAGTTTATATTTTCAATCAGAACAATATTAAATAAAGAATATTAAATTTAAAAAAATATTTTTTTTTAAATAAAACTACTCCCTAAAATAACTTTGAATCTTTAAAACATTTTTAAGCCGGCGTAGCGCAGTGGTTAGCGCGCTTACCTCAGAAACTTTAGCAGCCGTAGCGCAGTGGTTAGCGCGCTTGCCTCAGAAACTAGAGATCCGAGATTCAACGCACTTCTGCCGCCTCTGGGCAAGTTTAATAACAACGGTAAGGAAAGGAACGGTAATGCGTAAACATCCTTTCAAATGCTCTTCCGCGGTGCTCTGTGATAAGACTGTAAAAACTTTTTGGGGCACTTAAAATAATTAATAATAATAACAAAAAAAATCTTTATCAAAAGCAGATTTATTTTAAACTTTTTAAAGTTACAAGTATTCCATTACTTAAAATGTTTTTTTTAAAAAAACAATTGTTATTGTCATTATTTTTTTAAATTTTGTATTGGAGCCAAGAAGATCTAACAGTCTTTTCATAGAGAAGATCTAACAGTTTTGTCATAGAGAAGATCTAACAGTCTTGTCATAGAGAAGATCTAACAGTCTTGTCATAGAGAATTACTATAGAGAAGATCTAATAGTGTTGTCATAGAGAACCGCGGAAGAGCATTTAACAAGGAAGCTCAACGGATAAACTTTTAAACTTAAACTTTTGAAAACAGCAACGCGTGTTTAAGAAAAACCTCAAAACGTAGTAAGTTAAATTTATTATTAAACATTTTCATTAAAAAAAAAAAACTCCTAGTTGTAGATAAATGTTTCTCTTCTTTATGTAAAGTTAATTTTCGCAACAAAAAAACGCAAATAAACACATAAAAACATTATTTTTGTTACTATATTTATTTTGGTAACTTAGAAACCAATTTTTCACAAAATTATTTTATCAATTGCATTTTGCTGAAGAAAAAAAACCAGCCCAATAGATTCTTAGAAAAGCATGCATAATTCCCGAAAAACGTATATTGTTTTGTAGATTATTGCCTATTTTTTGTAAAACCTTGCTACTTGTCATTACAAATATGGAACCTGTCTTTTATGGATCTTAAACAATCGACATCTCCCTTATCCTAAAACTTTATTAAAATATTAACAAAAACTTCTGAAAATAATTTTCAAATTTAGGGCGTAACTAAAATTCTTTTTTTTTTAATGCTGATCATGAAAAACTTGAGTTCAAGAGGCACAGTTGCTTTTAAACATTACGTTTTTAAATTTGATATACACTATGTAAGTAAAAAATGTTTATAAACAAAAGCTTACCGTTTTAAGCAAAGGTGAGTTTGGCAAATCAGCTGTATATAAAGAAAATATATCTGACATGTCTGAAGTTTCAGAAGATATCTCTTTGTTTAGTTCTAGATTCACTGATTCTTCATTTATACTATTTTCATAGATCTCAAATTTTTTATCACTTAATTCTTCATCAGAATCAGTATGCCATGAACCAGCTGAGTATCCATCTATATCCCATAAAGGATCGTCATCTAAAGATGCCATTTCAGCAAGGAAATGATCAATTTCTTTAAATGGTATATTTTCTTCCATGATCTGAAAATAATGTTAAAGTTCTTAAATGGATTCAAATATAAACATTTAAAAGATAAAAGAAAAATAAAAGCTTGGTACCCATAGCAAAAACCTTATTAAAAATCAAACTACTCAAACCTAAGAAATAAATCTCCCTTAGCAACAGTAAATCAACGGTTTAAGAGAAATACGAATAAATTAAATGAAGTTTATAATACTAATAATAACAAATATGTTTGCGTCGTTTGTTAATAGAATCCTATAAAGTTTTATGAAATTAACTTAAAGAAATTTTTTTATTAAGTATTTTTATTGAAGAATCATTTTTAAAATCTTTGGACTCATACCCCTTTCTAAATTTTCAACAAAACAAACTTTACGGGTGGAAAGTCTACATCATGACGGCTAATGGTAGCGGTTTTAAAAGGTCCTAATTTTTTTCAATTTAATTTTAACAAGCTTTTTAAAAGCACAAGTATGAAATACAGCAACAACAGAATGATTTAAAAAAAATTTAAACATGTCAACTCACTGGAGTGTCGAGTAAGCATGCCATAACCATAACTGTTTATAAGAACTTGCTGGTTTCAAATGATATTTGTCTTGTTTGTTGTTACCTAATATAAGATAAAATATTGTTACCTCATTTATCGTTCAATTTATCTTTTACAGCTTTGTCAGCACTTCAATTGAATGAGTTTCAGCTCTTATTTTTGCTGAAAGTATTTTATTATGATTCTAAAAGAAGACTTAACAAGATTAGTTACCAGGGCTTTTATTTATAACACAATGTCTTATTATGTTTCTAAAGTTGCAGCAATATTATATTTATGCTTTTGACAACTTTAAATAGAATTAAATTTAAAAAAACTATTGTCTTTTTTTTTGTCTTTTATATAACGAAAACGAAAGTTGTTAGATGCTTTCAGTGTTCTTTTGTTTGCTGGTTAATGATGTCTTGTTTTTTATTATCCTTTCAGAAAGCGAAACTTATTATTAAAACCCACTTTCAAATTAATTAATTGTTTTGATCAGAAATAGTTTTTAATTAAGATAAATTTAAGATTGATCAACAAAACTAGATTTCCCTTCCCCCTCTAACTCTTTTTAAAAAGTAAAACAATAAAGAATACTAATTTAAAAATACAAAAAAACATATGCACAAAAAAAAGTGTTCGTAGCACGTTCCTATGAATCGTGAACACAATGCATAGAAACATGCACTAAAATCTTATATATATTAAAAGTTACAAGATCTTATAAAAAAACACAAAAAAAAGGTTCTGCTAATGTTTTAACACAAGAAAGTTTTTTTTAAATTATTATCATAAAACATTTCCTCGTTACAACAATGTAAAAATCAAAATATTCCCTCAGAGACTTTAGGATAACTTTTTTACCTATAAATGCCAAAAAATGTTTTTTACAAATGCATTTTCCAGCGCTTCAAATTATTTTGGACTGTGCTTTTCTAATTTTCTTACTTATAAGCAATTGTTGCGCAATGGTTAGAGTTCTAGCCCAAAACTAAAAGGTCCAAGGTTTGACGCTGGTTTCTTACGGTGCTAGAGCAGTGCTCTCTGATAAGACTTTTAGGTCTTTTTAAAATAATGATAATAAACTTAAAAAATAATGGCAATTTCGATTTACTAAATAAATGCTGTCTTTTTAAACAGTGTAAGCTTAAACTTTTCAATATCTTTACATTTTAAATCGTGATATTCGGCACATCGCTTTAAAATTTTAAATTTGACTCGTTTATCAGTAAAATATAAAAACTGTGCATTAAAAATGTCGCGCGTTAATGAGATTAGATTAATGCAAGAAAACAAAATACCATAGACAAGCCAATCCGGTGAATTTAAAAATAATTGTAGATCTTTCTAGCATATTCCTTCTAAAATATTCATTAAAATTTTCTAATTTAAATAACCAAATAAATCTAAATACTTTAACACCAAATTAAATTATTGTAA